ACCTGAGCCGAAGGCAGTCGCTTAACCAACTGAACCACCCAGGCGCCCCTAAATAAATAAAATCTTTAAAAAAAAAAAAGAATCCACCCAAATGATAGCCATGAGGATGATTTGACCAAGCTACAGATTTGTTTTCTTTTAAAGGTATATTGATTGATTGATTGATTTGGGGGGCATGAGGAGGAACAGGCAGAGGGAGAGAGAGAATCTCATACAGACTCCCCACTGAGCGTGGAGCCCGACACGGAGCTCGATCCCACAACCCTGAGATCATGACCTACGCTGAAATCAAGAGTCCATGCTCAACCGACTGAGCGACCCAAGCACCCCTACAGATTTGTTTTCTATGAGAACTGCTGTTCATCTCAGTCTTCTAGGGACCGGAGAGCTGAACACCTGCTGGGAAGAGTCCCAGGGACACCTCACTTCCCTTTGAATTCTGAAAGCGAACCCTTCAATGACAGCAATAGAAATGGACTCTAGCCAAAATTAGGTACAAAAGAAATGCATTGACAGGATAAAGAGGACTATGGAGCTGATCAGAAGGATGGAGAACTAGGTCCAGAAAACGGGCAGGAGCCATGGTACTGGGGGGAGGCAAGCAGCAGAGCGGGTCCCAGGAGTGGCCTGGCGGGGCTGTTACAGTTGGCAAACTGTCTTCACTGTGTCTGCTGCCCTCAGACACCCCCATCGCTGCCACTGGCCACCGCTCTTGCAAATGAGTTCTCGACCCCTCCACTAAGCTCTTCGCCTCTTGCCCCAGACCCGAAGACCCCAGCTGGCTGGGGGGTGGGGAGGAGGCGTATCTGGCCCCCTTTGGATTCCCCAGTGGGAGGCGGGATCCTGCAGACACCCAGACTGACTGGGGGTAAGATGCTAGTAAGTTCCAGGCAGGAAACCAGTGGCTCAGTTGGTTAAGCGTCTGCCTTCGGCTCAGGTCATGATCTCAGGGTCCTGGGATCGAGTCCCGCATCAGGCTCCCTGCTCCTTGGGAGTCTGCTTCTCCCTCTGCCTCTCTCTCTCTCTCATGAATAAATAAATAAAGTCTTTAAAAAAAAAAAAAAAGTGCTCCGAAAGTGCTACTTCCCTCTGGGCCAGGCATGGTATCCGGCATTCACTAGGTGATCCATAAATGCTCTCTACTGGATTCAAAGAGCATTTACTGGACCCCTACTGTAGGTAAACCATTATGCTGGGCACCGAGGAAGATAGTATATAAATAAGACCCAATCCCTTTGCTGAAGCAAAGCTTATTCAAGTCCCTGTTGAATTCAGAGAGCATTTATTTATTATTTCAAGATGCAGCTGCTGAGCTGGTGAGGGTGTGATTCAATCTGATCAGGAGGCCGAGAGAATACCCTATTCACTCATTCATTCATTCATTCATTCACATGGGCACTTTTGGCCAGATCTAACTGGAGAATTGGCGGGTAGGCTAGACAAGTAGGGCGTTAACTCTTCCAGGGGAAAGGGAAGAGGCTTGCATGACACCCCTGACCAATGCAGATGCTTAGTATACGATGAGCCAATCAGATCCTCTCCCCTGAGAAGCAGAAATTCAAGGTGCAGGTGGCAGGAACAAAAGGTAACTGGAGCTCTTATGTCATGGGAACAATAAAGAATCCACCCAGGGCGCCTGGGTGGCTCAGTCGTTAAGCGTCTGCCTTCGGCTCAGGTCATGATCCCAGGGTCCTGGGATCGAGTCCCACATCGGGCTCC